TCGTATCCATTGCGATGGTTAACCCCTTTGGCGAAAACAATAACGTCATTTTCCGTGGAGAAAGACTCGAACACGAGAAAGTTCCACTTCATGAGTTGAGGCATTGGTTTCAGCAACTCCGTCTCCGATGTTCCCGTCACAAGCGTAGGCTGGGAGAACATGCGATGTCGCCTGACGGATTCCGGCATGTCGCACTTGAAGGTGGGTCGATTGGTGTAAGGTAAGACGCCGGAGAATCTGGCCAAAGACCTGGCCTTGTTGGGGAAGAGGCAATGATATTGGTGGGAGGATGAGAAAGGCGTGTTTACGACAACGATGACGAGAATCTCCCAATCGGGGATGAGAACGGAGACGGTGGATAAGGAGTCCTTGACGGAGGATACACGACGTGTTTGGCGGGTGAGTTGGTTAACGTTGTTACTCTCGACGACATTCTTGTTGTTGCTGTTGGCGGTGGTGTTAAGAAGAAAGGCATTATTGAAGGATTTTGTTTTTGGGATGTCGGAGTAAGGTTGCCAAGTGGAAATGGCATTGCGAGAGAAATAAAGCGAGAACGAAGCGAAGGTGACAATGGAGAGTATGGAGACAATGAAGGTGGTGCGGGGTCTCCGCCGCATGATTTCCCCAAGGAAAGATAACAAGGACGACGACGACGACAAGTTGTTGGTGAAAGTTGGATTGTTAATATTATGGTCGAAATGGGATGGGAGCAAAAGCTGCGGTGGAAAAAGGAAGAGTAATTTGAGGTGGGAGAATGGTATTGGAAAAGAGAAAGCTTTTTCATTTTCTTTATTAAGAATCATGTTATCCTCTGAGGTGAAAAGCTTTTGAATGTTTGTTATAAATAGTTGAGGTCCCTTTTATATATATAGAAAATATACATGTCCTTCTGAAACTCAAACCTAGGGATGAAAGAAAGATGGTCGGAAAGTGATTCTGTGCATGTTGTGATGTGGAGAAAAGAAAAAGACAGAAATGGAAGAGACAGAGATGATGTTACGGTGGAAAGAAAGATGTTTGTGTTGTTGGGGACGATGAAGTTGTAGCCATGGCATGTGGAGGTCAAAATGGCCAACCACAAGGGTAATAGTAAACTCAATCCTTGTTCTTCACGTTGCGAACTTCTTGCGCACAGAATGCGCGACAATACTCTTCTGTCATTTTGACCTTTTTCAAATTTTGAAAGATGTTGACCACGATTGATCTTAAATTTCAGGATAATTTTATATCAATACCATTCAATTTTTCTATCCCGTTTAATAAAAGCTCATACTTTTCTTTTCTTTTCTATTTTATGTTCTTTAAACTATTTTATATTTTTAATTAAAAATACAATTTTATTAGAATGGTGTGAGTGAAAACTGAAAATGTAAAGAAAAAAAAGTTAGTTTGCCACATATTAAAAGAAAGACGTTAACAATTTTTCATAACAATTTTGTTGACAGCATGATAATATCACTATTTTAATGGTTGGGTTGAATTTAATTTTAAAAAATATTTAAAATAAACCAACCACAGACTATTTCATAAATATGATATAAAAATTGTTAATAGAAAGTTGTTAAAAAAATATTTTCTAACAAAACATTTGTTACGTTACTTTTACTAATATAATAATATATTATGATTTTAAATTAAAAAAATAATATAATTATAATCATAATATTATCGTTTAATTGTGTCAAATGAACGTAATTTGTTGTTTTGATGTGTCAAGTACCTATGCTCAAATGTAAATATCATATACTCAGTCTTACATACCTTCCAATCAAGTCATACGAACATTAAAATTTAAAATAAGAGTAAATTATTTTTGTATCTTCAAAATGTATTGTTTTTTCAATAATTAAATAAAACATTAATGAAAGTATGACTTCAAAGTTCAACGTTGACTACAAATAAATGATTTCATACTATATAAATAAGTAAAACATAAATAAATGTGAATTTTAAAAGCTGATTTTATGATATTAAGTTTAAAATTTATTTCTGTATATGAAATTAAAGTTATGAGTTAAAATAAATGAAATTTGTTGTTTGTTTGATATATTATTTTATTCCTTATCAAGCAATTATCATATTATTTATTAATATTTAGTCTTATACATTATGAGTTAAAATAATGAGATTTGTTATTTGTTTGATATATTATTTTATTTGTTATCAAGTAATTATCACATTATTTATTAATATTTAGTCTTATACACAAGATATATAATTGGCGTGACAAAACATAAGATAATTTCATAGTATATAAAACAATTTCATACAATAATCTTACCATATACATGCATTGCTTTAGTGCTAAAAACGGGTCATCGATTTCGATATACTGTTGGCTAATTAGTGAGTCAATTAAATCTAATTTATTTATTAATAAACTAAAAAAAATTGAATTCAATCAAATTTATAACAATTTGAGTAAGTTCAACATATTGACTCACGTAATTATAATTTTTTTATTTCAAAATATAATTTATTTTTTTAATTATAATTTAAATAAATTTCAACCGAAAAAAATTCAAAATTAAAAAATAATAATACAAAATAATCTAAAATGATCATAAACTTTAAATATAATTCAAAGAGTAGACATTAAAAATAAAATTAGCTCGATTAATAAACTAAGTGAACCAAATTTTTAATAAACTGACTTTAAAATTAACCCATATGAAAATTTTAATTTTCTTTTATCTCAACCTTATCCAAACCCCTAATAAACGAAATAGCTAACATATTTCAAAACAGTGAATGCAACCTAGGAAAACCAGGGAAAACAAAAGTCGAAAACGGTAATGCAACTCATAACAGAAAACACAACGTAAACAAAGGAAATTATTTAACAATGACTTTTATATTAGAGTAAGAATAGCAAAAATATGTTAAAAGTCATGTGATACAATCAGACTCACTGAAATACATTAAAATCCCAAATTGGTTTCTTTGAAGGAATTGCCTTAATGTCCTTTATTGGAAATTTATTAGAAATAAATAAAATATATAGGGCTCTCAGTTACCTGATTTGATTCATGACGAGTTGGTTATTTAGTGAATAAAAAAAATTTGAATCTCATGGGTTAGTAAGTTAAATAGATTGGCTCAATGAGTCACTTAATTACAAGTTATTTTTTCTTTAAATCCAAAAATATTATAATTTTTTATTATTATTCAAATTTAAATAAATTTTATTGTAAAATAATGTTAAACTTCAAAGACAATTCAAAATAAAAAATGTAACATGCAACTCAAACGTAATAAAAAACAAACTCAAAAAGTGAATAAATAAGTTTATAATATTGATAATTTTTATGTCACTTATCAATTTATAAGATTAAAGTCTTGAATAAATAAATTTATAATATTTTGCTGTCTTGAAACATTTTTTTTACTCACATCATACAATAAAAAATGTTAACAAATAATACTGAAACAAAAAATAATAAATAATTAAATCAAACTAGGTTGGTCACCACTTATCACAAATTCAACTCGGATAAGCCGAGTTTTATATATAAAAGAATTTGCACTTTGTAACAAAATTGTTTCATATAACATAAAAAATATCTCTTTATTTATATTTTGTATAATATTAAACTAATAGCATTAAATGGCATGTTCATAATTTTCAAGTTTAATTTTCTCTTGTAAATGTATCTTATGGAGTAAAAGAATCAAATATTAAATGTATATACACTTTTTTTATCGACCTTTTCTTAGTTCATCACATTAGAATAAATTTTAGACTATTTGAATGAAATAAATTAGGAATGAATTGAAGGTAATTGCATAAACTTAATTATTCTGAATCAAATTAAACCAAGTTATTATTTTTATTTAATTTTAAAAAGCAATTACTTATAGTAAAACTACTCGAATTACAATTTAAAAAAAAATTAAAAGCATGTATTTAAATAATATATTTATCAATGATAGTTTAAACAATTTTCAATGTAAACAGTTATTAAACATTTGAAAATAGTTTGATTTGTTCCATTATCTCAAATCATAATATAACTTAATTCAGCCGTTTAATAAAATACACCGCATCATTTTATAGTTCATTAAAGTTTCATTCAATTTAATTACGTTATCGATTTAGATATAACTTGCCAATATTATTTAAGCTGATTTTTTCATAATAAAAGAAATTTGTCTATTTTAAATATTTCTGTCCAGATACAATACGTAAGATGTCAAACTTTATGGAGGAGAAAATAATTCGTACGTATTACAATTCAACCATCCAGCTGTATTTACAAAATTGGAAACTAACAATATTATTATTATTATTGTCCTTATCACTTGTCAGAACATTATTATTATTACGCATATTATTATTCTAAATTATATTTCAAAACTAAAAGAAAAATAGATTTATTCAAACCAATAGAAAAAGGTAAGTTACATTTTCATATTCGTTTAAAAAATCTAAAATTTACATAATAAAAAAATATTATTTTGAAATCTCCAACTAATTCAACAACCAACATTTCAAAACGGTGGAAAGTGAACGGGGTTATTTGAAATGGTTTTCCATTGAGTAACGGCGCGGCGTTAAAAGTTAAACAGAGAGAAGAACTTTTGGTAACGGTTAGATAGGGATTGGTGAACGCAAAAGACTGCAAAGCGAACGGAACAGCGAGGGTGAAAATGTAAAAACACAAAGGAAACGATGATGAGTGGGACCGTAACGTTTATAAATGCGCACTAAATTGAAAGAGAAGGGCTGAGTTGAGAGCGACTCGCAGCAATCACGCGGAGACATAAATGCAACCAAAGTGGAACTCGAATAATTCAAAACCAAAAGAAAATAAAAACAAGGAAAAGGCCAAGACTATAAACACTTATTATATATATATATTTTAAATTAATACTAATATAAATTAAAAAATCCAACTTGGAAATTAATAAAAATAAAAAATAAAAATAAAAAAAAAGCTATCCACTAATTTAGATACAGTGTTCCATCTAGTTCCAGAAGAAGCCTGAACTAGCTGACAAAGTAAAACCATAGTCAGATTGTTTCCTACGCGTCTTAAATTTTATCTTCCAGAAACGGCATTTTGCTTTCTCTTTGAATTTTGCGGATCTTGTTATTATTTTTATTCTTATTTAATAGATTTAATATTTAATATTACTATACTTTCCATAATTATTATTATTTTGGGGACTGGGCTCAGTGATCCTTAGAGAGGGGAATCGGAAATGCAGAACATCCTCTCTCTGATTCATTCCTTGGGATCTTGTTTCTTCTTAATTGCTATTATTTGTTATTCAGTTTAAACGAAATTGAGTTCTCTGTAGCTATGAGTTGTTTTTCGTGCTTTGTTTCTCGCCGGAAAGATGTCAGGAGGGTTGAAATTGACAATGGCACTCGATCTGCTACTGCTGCTTCCTCAGGTTCGTTACGAGATATTTTTTTTTCTTTTTTTTTTTAGTTTAATTTGTTAAATAGTTTGTTTAATTTGAATTGCAGAGGGTGAAAGGAAGAGAGAATCCTCAGAGGCAAAGGGGAAGAGTGTGAGTAGTGGTAAAGGAAGTACCGCAGCGGCTAGTTTTGGTTTCCGCGAACTCGCTGCGGCGACGAGGGGTTTCAAGGAAGTGAACTTAATTGGGGAAGGTGGTTTTGGAAGGGTTTACAAGGGTCGACTTTCAACGGGCGAGGCAAGTTTTATTTTTGCTATTTTCGTTATTTTCTTCATTTTTTTTTTGGAATGTTAGTTTCTGAATGTTGGTTTGGGGCATTTGGATATTTCGGTTGTGGTCTCGTTATAATGATTTTTTTTTTTAACTAAAAAATTTTGCGCAGCTTGTTGCCGTGAAACAATTGAGCCATGATGGTCGACAAGGTTTTCAGGAATTCGTGACGGAGGTTCTTATGTTGAGCTTGCTGCACCATTCTAATCTTGTGAAGTTAATTGGCTACTGCACGGATGGAGATCAGAGACTTTTGGTTTATGAGTACATGCCCATGGGTTCACTGGAAGATCATCTTTTTGGTAAACTTATGATTGCTTCTTTTTGGTAACCACGAGTGGTGTACTTTCAGCATTTAGAAGTTGCTTTCTTGTGTCACGTTTTCTAGTTCATTAATTTGTATTGTATGTATCCTACATTACAACTTTGGCTGCGGGAAGTAATACAAACTTAATGTGTGTTTGGATGCGCGTTTTACACCTTTGCACTCGTGTGTTTCTGAAGCATGACAAGGTTGTTTCTACGGCTTTTCAAGAATTTGATGCTAAAGTGTCAACTCATACATGTTCAAAACGCCACACCAAACATTCTGTTAAATTTTCTTGATAGGTTCTTCAATTTCGGGTCATTCCTGTATTTGTTAGTCAAGAATCTATGCGATTATGCAAAATGCACATTTTGTTCTTATTGAGATAAGGGTTGTTCATTTGTGTTAGCATTACGAGATGATTTTTAACCTTAGGTATATATCATTTGTTTTCTGTTGATGTTTTATTGCTATTAACTCCATGCGTAGTATTTCTAGCTTTTGTCGACTTCCTTCTTGAAAAGATTCTCCGTTACTAAATATAAATTGACTATGAAACTGACTGGAGCGGGTTTAAGGAGAGTCGTACCAATTAAATTGGTCCACTATGGAGGAAAAATTCCATTGTTTGCTTTCTAGTCATTGACTACATCCCGACAGAGTCCCTGACTCACTTGTATTTATGCAAATATATGAATGAGCATAGGCCTTATGAAGAAAAGGTTTTTGCTCCCTCTAAAGGAGGGTGTTAGTTGTTTTCTTGTTCTGGGATTTAACTATTTTAGTGTAGGGGCTACAAGCAGCTTCTGGAGATTGTCATAAATAGCTGCATTATGGCGTTGTGGAATTCTTCATAACTTTGATCACAACTCCGTCCACTATGGGTGTTGTGGTTGTGGCAAGTGTCCTATATCCTCTTGTCATCTCTGGCGAGTCACCAACCAATTAATCCTATATTGGCAAACACACTGCTACTGCAGCAAATAGGAAATAGCAGTAGCGAATTTGATGCAAAAGGGTGTAATGTTGCAGGTTTGAAGAAGTGGAATGCAGCTGCTATTTCACTGCAAATGTCAGAGGTCGTGTGCTTTAGTGCCTGTGATTTTGATGCAGCACTGGAAACCAAACTTTACCCCTTTTTTGGGGTTTTAATATTTTTTTTTTGTCTTTCCGGCTCCCCTTTTTGCTTTATTAGGTTGACCCTTCTCCCATTTGAACAAGTTGGCAAAACGAGTCTTTGATTAGTATTGGATTTGAATGTTAATGACTTTGGCAATGGATTTTGATCATTGATTATGATCATGTCTTCAAAATTGATTATTTTTAGTATTTATGTGTATGATATAAATTATGCATATTATTTTTTAGACTTTGCAATAGTGATCATCTTCCGTCCTGGTATTCTGCTTTAGAAAATTTTGGAGTTGGCCGATATGTGCTGCTATCCAGGGTTGACTACAAATTTTGAACTCTTTGGTTAATATTATGTGACAATGGTATATATTTAATTTTTGTTTGCACACAACTTACATTTTTATATTTCAACTGCTATTTTTGCCCTATAGCAGATTATTGGTTTTCTGCAATCTGCAATCGATAGCATACCTGTTTTTTCAGCAGAGGTAGTTTTGTGCTTGAATTATTCTGTATGTACTTAAAAGAGATCACGGTTATTTTTGTGTAGGTCAAGATGTGGTAAATTTAAAATAATAGATATCTTGGCCTAAATGTGAAGTTATGAGAAGATCGGTTTAGTTTTGATTAGGTTGCATGGTTATGAAGTCCTCTTGAAATATATCCCTAAATTAATTTTTCCTTTATGTTATGTTTACCTCCTACTTTGATAATTAAATATACTATTACTAATCAGGTTATAACTTTATTCCTCCTTTCAGATCCGACCCAAGACAAAGAACCCCTAAGTTGGAGTTCTCGAATGAAGATTGCTGTTGGAGCTGCTCGTGGCCTCGAGTATCTCCATTGTAAAGCAGATCCACCTGTTATTTACAGAGACTTGAAATCTGCTAACATCTTGTTAGATAATGAATTCAACCCAAAACTATCAGATTTTGGGCTTGCTAAACTTGGACCTGTTGGAGACAATACCCATGTTTCAACCAGAGTGATGGGAACATATGGCTACTGTGCACCTGAGTATGCCATGAGCGGCAAACTAACTCTTAAATCTGATATCTACAGCTTTGGTGTGGTTTTGTTGGAGTTGATCACTGGACGTAGAGCAATAGATACCAGTAGAAAGCCAGGAGAGCAAAACTTGGTTTCGTGGGTAAGTGTTTAATTTGTACAGTTTCTTTAAAAAGAGATTCCCCTTTAAGTTAAGCGTGTAAGTTTGTCTTAGCTTTGCATGTAAGTGGTTCCTTTTAAGATTTTAATATTTTCTCTACCTACTTACCCTCACATCATTTTATATTTAAAATTGTGCAAAAACTATTAAGTAGATCATGTCTCATTGTGAAAGCTATAACGTGGGATCATAAGATGTTTCTTCACTAATTATAATAAATCATTGGGATTAACTTTATTGAAATGAATCTTCTTCACATATTGGTTTACTTCTTATACTTGGTATTTTTTTGTCCAGTCTCGTCCATATTTTAGTGACAGGAGAAAGTTTGTGCATATGGTTGACCCTCTTTTACAAGGCAACTTCCCCTTACGCTGTTTGCATCAGGCAATTGCTATAACTGCCATGTGTCTCCAGGAGCAACCAAAATTCCGTCCACTTATTGGTGATATTGTTGTTGCACTGGAATACCTAGCTTCTCAGAGTATTACTGAAGTGCATAGACATGGTGGGCGCAGCTCACCGCAACAACCATCTTCGGAAATGGACAGAAATTAATATTCACAGGTATCTGATTCTAGCCTGCGTACAGATTTCCTTAGCGGTTTGGTCAGCGTAAACTACCAACTTGGCTATTTTAAGTGTCGTATTATTGCTTGAATGAACTTATTTGGCATAGCAGTAGTAAAGATAAACTTGGTGATATAGCAGTAGTGAACATGTGAATGTATTTAATTAGAATGCATATGATTTGTTGTTGTTTAGGCTTAAACATGCTCGAGTCACCTCTGACACGCATCTTGTCTTTTCAACCAATTGAGAAAGGGTGGAGGTGAAGAGTGTTTTTACTTGTTGCTTTTGGTGTTTGATCTAGCGAGATTGGCTGGTGGTGGAGGTATAAAATGAAGGGTATTTATTTATTTACTTATTATATATTTCAGTTGAGAGAGAGAGAGAGAGAGGGAATATTAATGCTTCCAAATGCGTTCTTCTTTATTCTTTGGTGTTGTTTAAGTATATAGATTAGCGAGAGGATGGACGCAGCTTGTACATATGTTGGTCTATGACGAAATAGTCTTGTATCGGTCTTTAGAGTATTCTTGCACTATGATCCTTCATTCTGTCTGTTGTGAAAGAACAGCTAGTTTGTTTCTCCACTTGTATTTCTAAAAGTGCACCATTTTGTTATAATGGACAAGGAATTACCCAACTGACTTTTATAAATTTTAAAACTAATTTGCAGAGGCTCAGATAGAGCTTTATGCAATCTATTACAATATAAATGAAAAAATACTAACATATTTATTTTATTGATAATTTGTTTAAAGATTAGTTCTTCAATCATTTAACATTTTTTACTCTTTTATTTATATTTTATTTGTTGAAAGTATGTATGAAAATTATTTTATTTTTAATCTATATATTTTATTTTAAAACGACTTTTTATTCTTAATTTTATTTTTTTGTAATTTTTAATTAATTAGTCATTTAATAAATTATTGAAGAATAATTTATAGTTTAAATATGAATTTTATAATATTATTTTCTTTTATTTTTTTTATCTTTTTATCATTTATAATTATTTAATAATTAATAAAATTAAATTTAAAAAACACATATTTTATTTTTATTTCTTAAAATAATATTATTTTAAAAAATGTATATATACATATATATTAATAATAAATTGTCTTTTAAAAGGTACTTTATTTTTTTATCTATTTAGTTTATTTTTAAACAAATTTACTGTAAAAATAGAAATATATTTCAACTATATTATTTAATTTCCAACAAATTATTTATTTTAATTCTTACATAGAATTATTATTTTCTCAGATTTGAAATTCTTATATCAATCTTTAAAATGTTGATTACATAAAATTTGATTCATGTTATGAATTCTTAAAATTATTTTTAAAATTTGTTAAATTTTAAAATAAATAATTATTTATTTTAACGTGTATCTTTAAACACATTTTTATTATTAGTAAAAAATTATAACGTATTATATTTATTATGAAATAGTAATTTATATTTAAAATATTAACTCGTTTGTTTTATATTAATTTTTCATTCTTAACTTTATTTATTTAATTTTTTTATTATTTTGTCATTTAATTAATTAATAAAAAATTATATTAAAGTATTAATTATTTTTTATTTTTTATTTTATTCTCTTATGATTTTTAATTATGTGGTTAATCATTTAATAAAGTTAAATTTAAAAATATATATTTTATTTTTATTTCTTAAAATAATATTGTTTTAAAAAATACATATTTATTAATAATATGAATTGTTTGAAACTGTGAAATAAATATATAAAATAAATTGAAATTTTTTTTAAACATTATTAATTAAATAAATTCTTTAACTCATAGATTGAATCAAATTATAATATTTTTTATTCATAACTGGATTAAACTGATTTATTTTTATTTTAACATGTGGTAAATCAACCATGTAAGTAATGTTGTTCCTTTGATAGACTCTCAAATCTCAAGTTGAAGATAAATATTTTCATATCGTCCATTTTCTTTTGTTTTAAAAAATATTGTATTACCATATTATGTAATAAAATTAATATTCACTGCTAAAAACCATCCAAATAGATTTTATCTCTTTCAATTAATAACACACACTATAGACAATTAAAAATGAAAATTGTTTTCTGATAACCGCGTTTTCATACCACCAACTTTAACTTAATAATAAATTTTTATTTAAATATTTCAATCTTTCACGAGTTCGATTCGATTTAATCTTATCTGATTTTATCTTGTTTTAATATGTTGAATGTGTTGGGTATGACTGACTTAATCTTTTATAACTTGAGCAAACTCGAGTTTATATTTTCAAAATTTTAAAACTATTCGGCATATTAAAGGGATCGAATTTAAAATTTAAAAATATAGATTTAGATTCAGACATATCTATTCAAATAGGTTTAAAATAATATAAATTTAAGTCACTATAGATTGAATTTTCGAAAGGTAAAATGAATCCGATAAGCCATACATTTTTCTTCTTCGGTTGAGGCTTGTAGTTCATATTTTAAAGATATTTTTGTTTTTGTTACAAGTCACATGTGAACTAGATAAAACTAATTTATAATATATAAATAAGGTACAAATTTTAATTTAAAAATTAATTTGTGAAAATAAATTAATTTTTTAATATGGTATTATAACATAATTAGAGCTTATTTTAATAAGTTTTATGTGAAGATTTTTATTTTTATCTATTTTTAAACCACTCCATTAATTGTTACATGTACATATCGGCGCGTGAAGGGGTGTGTTACCCACTTCTTAACAGGCATCAACATTATTATTTGACTTGATTATATTTCAAAGGCAAAANTTTCAATAATTAAATAAAACATTAATGAAAGTATGACTCCAAAGTTCAATGTTGACCACAAATAAATGATTTCATACTATATAAATAAGTAAAACATAAATAAATGTGAATTTTAAAAGCTGATTTTATAATATTAAGTTTAAAATTTATTTCTGAATATGAAATTAAAGTTATATGTTAAAATAATAAAATTTGTTGTTTGTTTGATATATTATTTTATTCGTTATCAAGCAATTATCATATTATTTATTAATATTTAGTCTCATATATTATGACTTAAAATAATGAGATTTGTTGTTTATTTGATATATTACTTTATTCGTCATCAAACAATTATCACATTATTTATTAATATTTAGTCTCGTATATAAGATATATACTTGGCGTGACAAAACATAAGATAATTTTATAGTATATAAAACAATTTCATACAATAATCTTACCATATACATGCATTGCATTAGTGCTAAAAACGGGTCATCGATTTCGATCTACTTTAGGTTGGCTAATTAGTGATCAATTAAATCTAATTTATTTATTAATAAACCAAAAAAAATTGAATTCAATCAAATCTATAACAACTTGAGTAAGTTCAACAGATTATTGACTCACTTAATTATAATTTTTTTATTTCAAAATATAATTTATTTTTCTAATTCTAATCTAAATAAATTTCAACTGAAAACAATTCAAAATTAAAAAATAATAATACAAAATAATCTAAAATCATCATAAACTTTAAATATAATTCAAAGAGTAGACATTAAAAATAAAATTAGCTAGATTAATAAACTAAGTGAACCAAATTTTTAATAAACTGACTTTAAAATTAACCCATATGAAATTTTAATTTTCTTTTATCTCAACCTTATCCAAACCCCTAATAAACGAAATAGCTGACATATTTCAAAACAGTGAATGCAACCTAGGAAAACCATGGAAAACAAAAGTCGAAAACGGTAATGCAACTCATAACAGAAAACACATCGTAAACAAAGGAAATTATTTAACAATGACTTTTATATTAGAGTAAGAATAGCAAAAATATGTTAAAAGTCATGTGATACAATCAGACTCACAAAAATACATTAAAATCCCAAATTGGTTTCTTTGAAGGAATTGCCTTAATGTCCTTTATTGGAAATTTATTAGAAATGAATAAAATACATAGTGTTGTCAAAATAGGTTACATCCATGACGAGTTGGTTACTTAGTGAATCAAAAAAATTTGAATCCGACCATGGGTTAGTAAGTTAAACAGATTGGCTTAATGAGTATTTAATTGCAAGTTTTTTCTTTAAATCCAAAAATATTACAATTTTTTTTGTTATTCAAATTTAAATAAATTTTATTCTAAAATGATGTTAAACTCAAAAGACAATTCAAAATAAAATAAAAAAGTAACATGCAACTCAAACGTAATAAAAAAAACAAACTCAAAAAACGAATAAATAAGTTTATAATATTGATAATTTTTGTGTCACTTATTAAGATTAAAGTCTTGAATAGATAAATTTATAATATTTTGCTGACTTGAAACATTCTTTTTACTCGTACCATACAATAAAAAAAATGTTAACAGATAATAGTGAAACAAAAAATAATAAATAATTAAATCAAACTAGGTTGGTCACCACTCACTACAAATTTAACTCGGATAAGCCGACTTTTAAGTGAGTCGGGTTGAAAATTGACTCATATAAAAAAAATCATTTTTCTTCAACTTAATCCGACCGAACCTGTGATGCTCGGAGTTGGCACGCGGTAGATATATATTTAAAGATCTGAATATACAATCCACGTCTAATATCAACAAATTAATTATCATCTAACAATATTTATAGCTTATTAATTAAATTTAATTAAATTTAAATACAAGGATCCATTGGAGCAATTATATCCAAGTCATAAGTTTAAGACGTGATTCTTATAACATTGATATATCAGAGTATGTTGAAATGACAATAAAGTTAAGATCGTGAATTTTAAACAGCGAGTCATAAAAATGGAGTTATATTTTCTTTAAAAACAATTTATATTTCAAATAAGTGTTCCATAATAAATATTTTTAGCTTGAATTGTAGATAATACACAATTAAATACCAAATTGTATTAATCACTCAAGAGCACATGCACACACTATTAATTTTGTTTTCATGGCATACTTAAATCTTATAATATTCAAAACATCGAAATATATTAAAACATTAATTACAATTATTAGCTTTTAAACGTTACATCTCTTATACTATTGACCTTCAGAAAACCTAAATGTAATATCTATAGTTAAATTAATCTTACCAAATTTGTACTTATATTGTTTGAAAGTTAATATAATTATATATAATTTTTAAGTTGGTCAGAATTATCAAGTTGGTGCAGCATTGTATTTACCTTATGTAAAAAATGTCCAAAAGTGAAAAATATTCTACAACGCACCTCCCATATTTCTATGTGTTCGGTCACACTCTCGTAGAAAAATCTTATCTAGTTATTTATTACATAATATTAGTTAAATAAAATACACTTTATGTTATTTTCATATTTATATATTTGGTATGTTTTGTAAAAGTTTTAAGTTATTTCTTTGAGTTTGGGTCTAAAGATACATTATATTTTTTTTGGTTTGAGATAGATATATATATATATATATATATATATATAAGAATTTGCACTTTGTAACAAAATTGTTTCATATAACATAAAAAATATCTCTTTATTTATATTTTGTATAATATTAAACTAATAGCATTAAATGGCATGTTCATAATTTTCAAGTTTAATTTTCTCTTGTAAATGTATCTTATGGAGTAAAAGAATCAAATATTAAATGTATATACACTTTTTTTATCGACGTTTTCTTAGTTCATCA